CCCCAACCAAAAACAACCCCCCGCAATGAAATTAAAAAACAAAACAAAAGAACGACAACGACAACAGCAACAGCAACAACAACAACAACAACAACAACAACAACAACAACAACAACAACAACAGGGCCACCCATTTCGTAGTCCAGAATGACATCAGCTGAGGTAAAGGAGCGTTGATCGGGACGTAACGCGGTTACAAATTATTACACTATTTGGCAAACATTTGGAACCTCCCCAGGTGGCAAGTATGTCCCTCGCTGTGTGCTGGTGGACTTGGAGCCAGGCACGATGGACAGTGTCCGGTCGGGTCCCTTTGGTCAGATCTTCAGACCCGACAACTTTGTCTTTGGTGAGTTCTATTAATTAAGGGAAAGGTTTTTACTATTTCTATGAAAACTTACGATATATCTTTGATGTCTTGTGGCTGATCTACGATCTATCATCTGTATTTTATAACCACCAGTTAAAAAACGGACCTGTATTTATTCGTAAACTCATGTTCTAGTTTGGTATCAAATAGAGTGTATTTGGTATTGGCTGAACGCTTAATCTAACCTGAGTTATTTCAGGTCCAATAATGACCAACTGGTGGCCTGATCATGACGTGTGTAGTCCTAATAACGGTCGTTCACATCACGATAAAGCTAACTGTGAAGAGATCCACTGCAAAACGCACTATACGCGAAATCTAGGCATTTCCGGAAAATTTCGTCCACTAAAACATCTTATGGAAAGAACTATTCTGAGAATGATTTTTTCCTCCGGAAATGCGCTGTATCCTTCATTATTTAGTACAATAAAAGTGTATTTCGTTTACTCTTGTTTTCAGAGAGGAAGATTTGTTTTCATTTTCCCCTAAGTTTTGTAGTTAATGGACTTAGTGTGTTTTGCCACGGAGTCTTTCCCATAGCGACCAATTAGATTATTAAACTGAACGTTCGTTTTAAGAATGAGACCCCAGCTGAAAAGAGCACATGTACTCAGAGCTTGTTGCAGTCGAAACAGCTGGCTTTACAGTAAATCAGTTCTGTTTTGATCTCCATGAAAAATAAAAGTTGCTGACTTCAGCAGACACACCCAGACACAACAGCCAAGGGCATATTAGTCCGCAAAACACTGAACTTCTGAACTTGTTGTCTGGTCTAGACAGTGGTGTAGCGGTTAGGCACCCAGCTGTCGACTAGACAAGAGTTCAATTCCCGTACGGTAAATCCATCCTTCCATCCATCCATCCATCCATCCTTCCATCCATCCATCCATCCATCCATCCATTACAAAATGTTGATGACATCAACAGTTTCATGTAGACCACAGCCACAGATGTGTTTGTCTGCAAATGTTCAACTACATGCAGTTGTCTGGCTTACGCAGTAAACTCAGATCGGCGTCTGTGGTGCAGCGGTTAGGCACTTCGCTATCGAAGGCAGGAGTTCGATTTCTGAGTGGGGAGAATTTTTTTCTAAACAGAGTTTGTTGAGGTTGGAACAGCTGGCTAACAGTAAATCCTGTTTTTTTGATCTCCATAAAAACAACAACAATGAATGTTGCTGAGAAGGGTACATTAATTTCTCTGCACAACATTGATCAAGTATTTTGGCTCTCATAGTAAACGACTAGTAAACTAGTAAGCTCGCTTTGTAGTAAATCAGTTCGGTTTTGATCTCCATAAAAAATAAAAGAGATTAATCTGACATCAGCAGTCTAGCCCAAACACCACACCACGAACGGATACATTTGTGAGACTGGCTGACAAAATGAGTTACTTCTCGCAATCTACCAATGGAGATATTAACCAAAAATTGACACAGGGGCCAAATTTGTAGATTTTCTATTGATGTCATATTCTTTAAGTATAACAAGCCTTACTCTATTTCATACTTACAAATTGTAAAAACCTCACCTATAAGCGTGATGTAGCGATTTTCATAGGGCTTAAATCCGAGAAGTAACTCATTTTGTCAGCGCCGTTCACATTAATTGTTTTCGAAACGTTCAAGTACATGCAGCTGTCTGGCTCACCCAGTAAACTCATACCGGCGTCTGTGGCGCAGCGGTTAGCCACTTCGCTATCGAAGGCAGACCTCAGTTCGATTTCCGTATGGGGAGAATTAATAAAGAACAAAAAGAGTTTGTTGAGGTTGGAACAGCTGGTTAGCAGTAAATTGGTCAGGTTTTGATCTCCATTAAAAAAAAAGTTGCTGACATCAGCAGTCTCATGTAGACCACAGCCACAGACGATGTTTGTCTGCAAAAAATTCAACTACATGTACATGTAGTCGTCTGGCTTACACAGTTAAGTTATAAAATAAGATAAGATAATACTTTATTATCCCAGAGGGAAATTTTTCTTGGCTCTGCAGGACCGTAAAAACACACCAGGGTATACATAAAAAATTTAAATCTCATATTACTCTCATTAAAATTCAATATGAAAAGAGAAGTAAAGCTGACAAAAAGTACATATCACATCAGAGGCATCATTCAACAACGTGCAAGAATTTAATTACTAGACATTTGGAGCTATATAGATACACACTCTAAAGAGCAATACATATTATGCTTATTCTGACAATAGCCTTTTATTAGAAGGTAAAAAAACTTCTTTTATATATCTTTCTTTATTTGTTTTTTTGGGGGGGAACATCTGCTGCTGCGTGATCTTAAAATTTTTCGAGGAAAGAGGAGGTGTTGGGTCGTTTGTAAATGCTTTTTACCTTTTTTTAAACTTGTGGTGTTATACATTTCATCAGTTCTAGTAAAATCATATCCAGAGATCTTGTTGGCTTTCTTAATGGTAATGAACATTTTCCCGTCGCTACCCGGATTCGAACCCGGGACCTTTGAATGAGAGGCGATCATCTTAACATGTAGGCCACGAGAGCCCCCATGGTCAGGTTTACTTAGTGATATCTCGCCTATCTCTTTGGTGTCGCGGTTAAGCGCTGTCGAAGGCAAAGGACCTGAGTTCGATTCCCGTATGGGAGAATTTTTTTTATCGGAAATCTCGGTCGCTCTGCTTGGACTTTCATCCTTCTAAACTCGGATCTTCCGTGACAGAGAGAGTCGAAGCCCTCCTCCTAAATGGAGGAAATTGTATCGATGGGGGCACCAAACGCCAACATTAAACAAAAAAACCCAAACAAAAACAAACCCCAACAACAAACAAACCCAAAACCCAGCGTACTCAAGTTTGTTGCAACCCTTTGAAAGACACTTTACACAGATTTTTCTCACTTCGGCCTCGACTTCCAGTTTGAGAAATAAGTTGCTCATTAACCTCCCCCCCCCCCA